TATATGAATGTAATTTTGCATCAACCACCCAATTTCTTATTAATGAGGATTGGGTAGTAGAAGTAGTTATTATTTTACATATTTAACAAAAATTAATATCTATTACCACTTAACACAATGAATAAGAAGATCTTCAAATAATTTTCAGTGTAGATACCGTATTTTTTTTTTTTTTTTTTTTAATTCTAACACTCACATTGATTAACATTTTCTTTTTCTTAATTTGATTAACAAACAGAAATATTATCTTAATTTGAGGCGATGAAAAGTAGGATGTTACATAAACACGATTAAGGAAACAAAGTTTGACTTTAATAAGTTAATAACCAAAGCGTTTTGTCTTACATTAAAAAAAAAAAATGTTTATCCCTTAAGAGTTGTTCATTGGAGAATACAATTTCCCTTAGCTGTTAACCATCTCACTTATTATTTTACTTTAGAAATGTATCACATAATGGATAAGATGATTTTTCACCTAATCACATTTAATAGTTTATTAAGTTTTCTAATCCTTGAAGGTTAGCATCATTAATTATTAATTATATTCCTTCTATTGGTTACTTCAGCAGTTGGGAACTGTAATGTTATACTACTTGGCCCTATTAGTGCCACACCTTTTTGTGTAAATTATATGTCTTTAATTCTGGCAAATAAGGGAGCACTTCAAATGAAACGATAACATTATTAGATCGATAATTATTGGATCACGGATTAAGCTAATTGAAATTATTATATTGTTGATATGAAAGATTGTTGGGAACACTATTCATTGATACAAACATTCACATTCATCCAATGATTTCTTTTTCTTCTTCTTTTTTTTTTTTTTTTTTTTTTTTTTTTTTTTTTTTTTTTTTTTTTTTTTTTTTGGGGACTAGGTTTTTCTTTGATTCGGTATCACGTGACAAATTGATCCTTAAAACCATTCAATCAACAATATACATTAATTCAAGTGTAATTTTTTTTTTTTTTTTTTGTTTTTTTTGTTACCGAGGGTATCCGAACTAGTTTACGTGCACCTTGACTAGTCTCCTGACCCCGAACAAGGTAAGTCTTGCTGCCCGTAGCCAACAATATTAACAATCATTCTTGTGATTCGAATCTGAGACTACAAGGAGAGCAAACCCATTGGCCCCGAGCCCTTACCACTCGGCCAACCCACTGTTGGTTCTAAGTGTAAAATTTTCATTTGACTATTTTTTATTAGACGTGTATTTTCACATAATTTTAACTTATATATATATATATATATATATATATATACAGTAAAACCTCTTTATAATGATACTCTATATAGGAATAAACTCTACATAGTCATAAAAAATTATATTCCCAATTTGGGATAGTTATAAATAAGAATAAATTCCATATTGTAATAAGTTATAATTTTTCTAATTCCCGTTTTAAGGAAAGTTGCCTCCACATAGTAATAATTATCTCTATATTGCAAAAAAAAAATATGGTATGTTACATTTAAGGTTTAAGATGAAATAAAATCTTTATCTGAAGTTGTTTGGGACAATAATTTATGCTTTAGAATTGTTACCACATCTTTTAATTTGCGGGTACATTACTCGCTAGCATGGATATTTTCTTGTTAAAGCTAAAACATTTCTAACTTCTCAAGCATGTTTAGAGCTTCTTGACATGAAACTTTTTGTATTTCTCTACTATCATCCTCATAATTATTTCCTTTCTCTTCTTGTTTAATTGTAGAAATGATTTTTGTTTTTTTTTTTAAAACATACATGACTTGTTACTCATTTGGATGATTAAGGAAAACACTAATATTTATTCGATTAGTGTAGTGAAGTTGTTGAATCTGATCATTCAATTCTATAATAACTTTTTGATTCTCCTCATTCACTTCATTTATAACTTGCAATTCATCGACATCGGGGGTCCTAATTTTGTAATGCTTAAAACAATTGGTAATTATCTGTGGCTTCACATCAGTTGTCATGCAGCAACTGTATTTACAATTCTGTCAAGGACAGTTATCTTTGTTGGTTTCAAAACACGATCTTCTATCCGTTTTAAAAGTAGGCTGTTGAAGTGTTGAATTGAAACCCTTATATTATTAAAACATGAATTAAAATCTTAATATTGTACTACTAAAACATGAATTATGAAATAAGAAATTTTTTTAACTACACCTCTATTAAGTTATAACCTCCTCATAGTAATAAAATTAGTTAGTCCCACCATTATGACTATAAAGAGGTTTTACTGTATATATATATATATATAACAAATGAAAAACCTTGACCTCATGTGAGTAGATATATGACACAATTTTTTAAAATCAGTTGAGCTCAATTTTCTCGATTACTATATACATTGAATTTTGAATGATACATGGTGTTCTCATTGGTGTCAAATCAATAAGAAATGTTACTTACACAATTTAGCAATAAACCTGTAATTTTAAATGTCTCAACAATGTATGATCGATTAGGGTTTTCTTTGTACATGAATTTGAATAAAAGAGACTGGTAATCTTGCAAAAGGCATGCATGAAGACATCCAAATTCAATTCATCTACTTGGCCCTATTAATGCCACACATTTTTGTGTAAATTATATGTCTTTAATTCTGACAAATAAGGGATCACTTCAAATGAAATCATAACATTATTAGGTCCATAATTATTGGATGACGGATTAAACTAATTGTATTGTTGATATGAAAGATTGTTAGGTGAACACTATTCATTGATACAAACATTCATTGTTCATCCAATGATTTCTTCTTCTTCTTTTTTTTTTTTTTCCGGGACTAGGGTTTTCTTTTGATTTGGTATTAGAGTGACAAATCAATCCTTAAAACCTATTCAATGAACAATATACATTAATTCAAGTGTAAGTTTTTTTTGTTTTTTGTTTTGTTATCGAGGGTATCCGGACTAGTTTACGCGTACCTTGACTAGTCTCTCGACCCCGAACAAGGTAAGTCTTGCGGTCCGTAGCCAACAATATTAGCAATCGTTCTTGTGATTCGAATCTAAGACCACAAGGAGAGCAAACTCATTGGCCCCAAGCCTTTACCACTCGGCCAACCCATTGTTGGTTCTAAATGTAAAATTTTCATTTGACTATTTTTTATTAGACATGTATTTTCACATAATTTTAACTTCTATTTTATATATATATAACAAATGAAAAACCTTGACCTCATGTAAGTAGATATATGACACAATTTTTTAAAATCAGCTGAGCTCAATTTTCTCCGATTACTATATACATTGAATTTTGAACGATACAAGGTGTTCTCATTGGTGTCAAATCAGTAAGAAATGTTACTTACACAATTTAGCAATAAACCTGTAATTTTAAATGTCTCAACAATGTATGATCAATTAGGGTTTTCTTTGCGCATGAATTTGAATAAAAGAGACTGGTAATCTTGCAAAAGGCATGCATGAAGACATCCAAATTCAATTCATCTACTTGGCCCTATTAATGCCACACCTTTTTGTGTAAATTATATGTCTTTAATTCTGAAAAATAAGGGATCACTTCAAATGAAACGATAACATTATTCGATCGATAATTATTGGATGACAGATTAAACTAATTGTATTGTTGATATGAAAGATTGTTGGGTGAACACTATTCATTGATACAAACATTCATCGTTAATCCAATGATTTCTTTTTCTTCTTCTTCTTTTTTTTCCGGGATTAGGGTTTTCTTTTGATTCGGTATCAGTGTGACAAATCGATCCTTATAACCTATTCAATAAATAATATACATTAATTCAAGTGTAAATTTTTTTTTTTTTTTTGGTTATTGGGGGTGTCCAGGCCAACTTACGCGCACCTTGACTAGTCCCTCGAACCTGAACAAGGCAAGTTTGCTGTTCGTAGCTAATAATATTGGCAATCGTTCTTGTGATTTGGATCTGAGACCATAAGGAGAGCAAACCCTTTGACCCTAAGCCCTTACCACTCATATGTAACTAGATATATAACACAATTTTTTTAAAATCAGTCGAGCTCAATTTTCTCCGATTACTATATACATTGAATCTTGAACAATACATGGTGTTCTCATTGTGTCAAATCAGTAAGAAATGTTACTTACCCAATTTAGCAATAAACCTGTAATTTTAAATGTCTCAACAATGTACGATCGATTAGGGTTTTCTTTGCGCATGAATTTGAATAAAAGAGATTGGTAATCTTGCAAAAGGCATGCATGAAGACATCCAAATTCAATTCATTTTATTCATGAATGAAAAGATATTGTTTTTTTTTTTTTTTTTTTTGGTGTCCAGGTTAATTTGCGCATACCTCAACTAATCTCTCAAGACTCTCAAATTGACGATCAGGTAAACTCCTCAGTTGCCACTCCTATTAGGGCTTATGGAGACTCGAACTCAGAAGCTCATGAAACTTCTTTCTGCTATTTTACCATCAGGTTACCTAATGATGGTTATTAAAAGAGATTGTTAGTTGTAAGGTTGCCACTTCCCTTCCAGGCTCACAAAATTAAAATTATTCCAGAGAAGGTGGAATTAAACTTATGAAGCCAACATTTAAGAGGCCTAAAGTTTTATGGTCCATGACCCAAAAGGTCAATTAATAGGACCAAGCCATCAAATCATTTACAATTTGAATATCGATTCAGTATTGTTACCGACTTAATACCTGCTATTAAATGTATGATCGTTGGTCAAACCGATGATTAAGCTAATCATCCATCCAATGGTGGATAATGACTGGTAACATTACTGGGTCGACACTGTAGTTAATCTATGGTGGAACAAATCACTTTGATTAGGCTAGTAAAATTATTTGCGCTGTATCGTTTGTTTTCAAAAACCAAAAAATTGTTTCTAAAATATACAATATAGACAGGCCTTGAATAACCCAAACTCCTAAACTAATGAACTAGAAATATTAGGCCCAGCCCAGCCCATTCTACGTATTTATTCTCTTTTTCATGGAAAACGGAAACCCATCTTCGTTCCAAACATTTGAATCCTACAAACATCCTTTCATGAATGAATCTGCAATTGCTTGAATTTCAATACCGTCTGGACTATTGTCTAATGCACAAAAAAACTGACGATGGCAGACAAATAACCAGCAAGCTGAAAGACAAAAAAAGAACATGAAAATACATTAATCAAATTGTCTAATACTCCAAAGATTCTAGTTAGCCAACTGAAAGAAAAGGGAACTTCACCTGAGCTAGAAAATTTTTCCCAGTGTGACCTTCGATTACTAGGCCTGCTGTGAGACCAATCATTGCCCATGCTCCGTTGATTGCCTCAATTTGACGTCGTCTCTGAAAGAGCAAAAGCAAGCCATCAGAATGTACAAGTGAGCTAAATTAGAGCAAAAAAACCATGAATTAAGAAGTTGGATAGGTGAATGGGAAATTAAACCATGTTGGCAATACAGCATCGGCATGCCCAAAATTACAATACAAAACCAAAGACCAAAGCAACTAAACTTGCCCTTTGGCTAGAATATAAGGTTATCATTGAATGTGGTAGACAATTACTGGCTTAGTTCTTTTCAGAAGTTATCAGCTTAGGGTTTTTTCTGTCTTCTTAATGAAACAAAACACTTTTTCGAGTCCTACATGCCAGTCCAAATCTAAAGTAGGAAGTACGAGGAGTTTCCCATAGATTTGAGAAAATTTATAGTACTTCCAAAGAGCTACCAAAACTTCAGCAGGAAATTGTCAGCCACCAATGGCTGCTGACACCAGACATTAGACAAGTATTTTTATATGAGTTATCTTTCATCAATTATGAAACTTCCTCCACCTTGAATTTCTCCTTCACTTTAATTTGCTCCATTTGTTTGGCAGCCAACTGCTTGGCTTCCAAAGGATCAACCATGATTATCTCCTTGATGAAACTTTTGCCCCACTTAGAAACCTGCACAATGAAGCAAGGGTAAATAAGTGTGATTCGGAACAAAGGTGAATTTAATTCTTATACACTGCAAAGCATATTATATGATTACTGGAAATAAAAGAGGTAAAAAAGGAAATCAGTTTCATCTCACTGACTGTAAGTAAATTAAGTATAAGGCAGAAATTGTTGCAAGGAAAAAAGTGCAAGTTGCATCTCGAACAGATGATTCCAAGCCATAAGAAATTGCAAGAAAAAAAGACAAATTCTTCATATAGGACGATATGATCATGAAACATCATGCAGAAAATGCATATATAGACACGCCAATCTAGCTATCATTTTCCACAAAAGGGGTAATTACCTTAATCTGAAACACTATTCTAAACCCTCAAGACAGTCTTCACTAAATTCCTTTGGGGGCATAATAGATTGAAAGGAAAGCAACTTCTAAAGGGATTTTGAGAGAGTTTAAGAACCTCCAAATGAATCGAGACACAATGTGCAGTACTCAAAAGGAAAAGAGCAAATGATCAACGTGCCCAGGAATGTGATTGTAGAACATAGAGAAACTGGATTCACAGAGGCCTCTTATAGTATAGCAATGGAGGAGAGTCTAAAAGCACTTAATAAATAAGTTCCACTGAGTCCGTAAAAGGGTGAGTGCTCTTAACTAAACCGAAGAATTGTGATTCAGGTACTCACAGAGAAGTGACTTTGGCGCTATGCTTATGAAAGTTGTTTGTGCAGGAATGCTATCAATTTTGTGCATTGTAATTGGTAGACTGGAAAGTGGGAAATTTTCCATTGATTATTTATGTGAAACAAATTACACTCCCAATAAAAACATAACCCATCTCTCCATCTTAACACTCATAATGCCTTCATTCAACTACCTGATACAAGTGTCTTTACAAGAACACCCACCAAACTAAGCCTTTAAAATTCAGCTTTTAGACTATTTAGATTGGATGACATATAATAAAACTTTGTTGTTCCTTTGATTTGCTTTATGATTCACAATTTACTGAAATCAAAGTTTATTTCATTGTTTGATTCTAGCCAAAGAGACAGATGACTTCGGTGTCATTAAGATTTTTGTCAAAAATGAACTAAATAGATCTATGTATCCTTTCAAATACCAAGATACCTCTGAGATTGATGATTCTAAATAACTTGCACCATCTGCTAAGCAACTACAACTAAGTAATCTAACACGACTCCAGAGACCAGACTGTCACTACCAAGAGGCATTTGCTGACTAAACATCAATTACATACCTACAAAACCTTTGACCATATGCAAACCAAATATACTCGCATTATACATGAGGAAGCCTTGGGGTTGATTCATACATTTGGATTGGCCAAAACAAGAAACTCTTGGCTCCTGGTTCTACTGGATGTCAGGCTTGCATCTTGGTCTCTTCTCAATCCCCACCTGAAAAAAAAGATTTAATATTGTAAAACTATTTCGGTACGTAACATTATTAGGATTTGCATCTTGTTTTGTTCCTATAAAACTTAATCATGCCAAAAAACTTCATAACTAGCCAGGATATAGGCATCAATTATGGTTAAGTCACATGACACAACCAACAGGTTTCACACTCTATCACTAAATAGCACTGGTACTTACTCAAAAACCACTTTTACCACATGAAACAATTTAAACTACATTAAGAAATTGCATCTAAAAATTGAAACTAACACAAGTTTATTGAATTCTACTGACCAACCTAACCCGAAAGCTCATGAACTTCAATCAACTTCCAGTGTATACATTAGATTTCTCAAATAAAATCTAATTAACAATTCCCCATCATGTTCTACTAACAAACTGAGGTGAACTCATCCTCTATAAAAAAAAAATAAACAAAGGAGCCATTTTGGGATACACAAGTAAATTTATCAAGCAGCAATTAGTTTCATCTAAAATTTCCTAAATTGTCACCAAAACAAAAAACCAAAAATAAAAAATTTCCAGTCATTTCATCATCAAGGCCACTGAAAAAACAAACCTTCTTTTTTCTCATCTTCGATATTTCAATTTTGCCATATCCCTAGTAAAAACACAAAGACCAAATCTTTAACCACAAAACGACTAACTTTACCAAAACAAACACATACACTCCAAGGAAACAATAAAAAACCAAACAAAATTTATCAAAACAGTGCCATTTATAATTTTTCAGTTACTTTTCCTCGGTTCTTTTTTTTCTAAGCAACCAAACAGAGAAAACATGTAAAAGAACAAAACTTTGAGAAAATGAAGAAGTGGATAAGTGAAAAAAAATACTTGTGGAGAGATGCAGAGCGATGAAGAGGGCGAAAAGAGGAGAAAATTAGAGGTCCATTGATGGGTCGCAGAGATGTGGACACCATCTCCAGTTGTTTCTTCTTGGTTCTTACGTGTTCTGTTCTCTTTCCATATTGTTGATTTTTGATAGCCTTTTATATAATATTTTTTTAACTACAGAATTTTTCTTAAAAAAATTAAATAAACTGAATTTATGTGGAGACTGAGAGAGAAATGTTAGCTTTCATAAATTTATAAATTAATTTGTTCTATTTAGAAAATAAAATAAGAATTCCCCGTAAGAATTCTTTTTTATTTTAAAGAAAATTTATGGTAATTTAATAAAATGACTTAAAATCACCTTCCCCTAATTTTTTGTGTAATTGTGAAAATGTCCTTAAACCATCTCCAACATATTGCACCAAATTGGTACAATTTTCACACTAAATTGATATGATTTTTATGTGAAACACTATTACATCTTCAATCCACTGCATTAAATATTATACTAAAAATAATATTTCTTAGAATATTGTTTTTACATTATAATAATCAACAATTAATCTATTTCACTCATTATTTTTGTATATATTAATAAAATATTAAGAATGATATTTTTATTAAACAATAATTACTTTGAAAATTATACTAATTTAATAAAATTAAACATTTATTTAATCAAATATACATTAAATTTAATATAGAAAAACATTACATCTAATATAAAATAGTACCAAAAAAAAAAAGACAACAAAAACACAAAAGTAAAATTCTATATTGATAGTAATTTAATTTTTCGAATTAGTATATTCTTCCCACAAATGATTAATTAATGCATTTCGAAGAGCATGGTGAGCCTCTGTATCTTTGATTTATCTATGTCGAGCAAGAAAATTTTGAAATCAGATATTTTCATCTGCGACAATTTCAACAAATTAGCTTAAATACAAATAACAAAAAAAAATATATTTTACTCTTTAAACAGTGTCACCCCAAATTGGTGTGCATGAACAATACTACACAAATTAGTGTGGCACTGTAGCAACCTAGCAGGGCACCGAATTGGTGGAAAAAATGACGCTAGATTGGAGTTGAAATTCAAGCTACTTTGGTCATCTATAACCCAAAATAGCGTTGAGTTGGAGATGCCCTTAGATAGTGAAAAGGACGGCCAACTGATACACACCGTGAGTAAAATTAATGACACCTCTCAAGTATGACTATTATAAATTAATAAATATTTATTAAATAAAATATTTATTATTTATTTTAATACTTAAAACTTAACAAAGAGATTTATATTTTTTATTCGAACGGCATTAATTATTATCACAAATTCTTTCATAAATCATGCACATATACATATATACGAAATCTTCTCAAACAACAGGATTAAAGGATCTTGGGCTTTTGTTTAGCCTCATTCTACAACAATTGAGACTTAAATTGGCCCATGACCAAGTAGTGGAATACAAATGGCCTTGGAAAACAACTGCACATTTCCAGGGAGCCAATGCTTTGGCTTTGGGAAACATTGGAAGATTCGAAAACCTGAACAAAACCAGGTTCAGCACCGACACCATACCATTACCAGACAAAACCAATGGCTCTTATGAATAATCAATGGGCATGACAACCCCTGTTTTTTTTTCCATTTATTATAAATGGCACATAACATGTTCAGAAAACTAATCAATTCATACATCGATCAACAACTCTCAGATAACTTAAATCTTTGCTTTTGTTTTTGATGGCAACTCTTGTTCTTCTGGTGACTCAACTTCTTCATCTCAAACACCAAAACTCTGATTCTGTGGAAACAATACTCAGTCAGTTCCCCTCCTCAACATATTTCGCTGACCAGAACCAATTGAAGCTGGAGACTAACAGCTATATACAAGCAACTGTGGAAGATGAAGATCTGGCGGACTCAAGGTTCTGCCTGGACACTCTCTGGCCTTAAAAACTCAATTTCTTGATCGCAAGTTTCAATCTTGTAATCGATTATCTCTAAGTCTTTCTTTTCGTTTTTGTTTTCCATTTTCTTCCTGTACATATACAAGATGTGCATACGTTTTATAGAAAAAAAAAATCATCAACGAAATTTAATGGAGAAATTTAATACTGGCTCTCTGCACTACTCTGCCAAACCCAACACCCAACAACAAAGATTGAGCTAAGCTCCTGCGTGGACATGCTTGGCCCTTTCAAGTATATTCCATGGCATGTTAGCATATTCCATTCATCTCTGTGGCACAAATCTCTTCACCACGTGGATGTGATTTCTTGAGATGGTAGTACCACACTGTGTAAACAATCAGCTTCAAGATCTTCAACAAGCATAGAGAATTGAACGCTAGTAAAAAAACTAACCAGCTAGAAACTATTTTAAATCCCCCAAATTCAATGATTTTGAAGCCCTGGAAAACAATCACATATAGTACCTTGAAGAAGTTATTTATAGCAAACCCACCAAGCTTCCTACCCTCAACAAGTTTTGCAGCCTTACTGAATGCTTCCATCCCATAAATTTTCTCTTCAGTGGCTGATGCTACAGCCCCCAAAGTCCAAACAACATCCAAGTAGTTATAAAAACACAAAGCAAAAAAGAATACCACAATACTTGGAATTGATGATTGGTTATGTTGTGGCACAAGAGAGAACAAAATAACCAAAACTATGGCAGTGTAACACACATTAAAAAGTGTTATGTGTAGGCAAGTAACAAACGGACGCATCAGCAATCGCATCAGTTTCGAGATGAAGTCTTTGAAAGATGAAAAATCGATCGACGAGGAACAAGTAGTTATGGAAGATGCAAGAATTGTGGCTGGAAGAGAGAATAAGAAGAGGTTGAGATAGGCAAAAGAGGAGATTAGTATTAATCCAGTGATGAATCTCAGTTGCTGTCTGATGTGAAGTGGCAGAAGGGAAAATATGAAGCTGTCGGTGAGTAAACATGGGGAGTTTTGATTGAAAATCAAATCGTTTGTCCATGAATTTGAGGAGAGAATGATGAACATAAAGTAAAGGGAGAAAACGATGGTGATTATGTATGTATAAGCCAGGAGTTTCCAGTTTTTGAAGAGGCATTTAATGGCTTCTGTTAGAATTCCTGCAGAACTCATGATGCTACTATTGAGGATTACTAGGCCCTTTGAAAATGTTTTATCTCAAAAGAGAAGATAAGCTGTATATTGAGATATTGTTCATTAGGCTTAAATTAGTCCACTCCTACTCCCTTTGATTTGTGTTAAGATACTCCTGGGAAATTGACCATTTTGTGGTAAGTAAGATTGCCATCTGTGCAATCTTCAACTGCCATTAAAGTAAATTGTTGACTTTAATGCATCTTTATGTTATTATATTAGCAGTTAGATAGGAATGTTTCAAGTACAACAATTTTAATTCAGGTAAAATTATAGAGATTAACAGTTAGTACTCACAAAATTTTATATTATAAATGCATGATATCATATTTGTAGCATTTGATAACAAATTGCCTACAATATAATTTAGTAGCAGAACTAAATGATGCTTGTACTCATGCCTAGAACTGAATATGTTGACATTATAAGAATGACAGGTTTGAGAAGGCCATCGTTATCGATTCTAAAAATTAATCTGTTAGGTGATGTTGTTGATCCACTATTCCAGAACAAAGATTCAAATTATTTCTATTCGATGTTTCTTTGTTTGACGTTTGCTATGGAAAAACATTAGATGGAGTAGGTATTGTAGCATATTCCATTTCTCCTTGTAAATCTAATCTCATAAATTTGCTCTTCAATGGCTGAAACTACAGCCTCTAATGTCAAAACAACATCCAAATAGAGGTAAAAAGCCAAAGCAAGAAACAATTGGAATTGATGATTGGTTGAGCTGTAGCACAAGATAGAACAAAATAACTAAAACTATGACAGTGTAACACACATCAAAGCATGTTATACATAAGTAAGCAATCAATGGACTCATAGTAATCGCATCAGTTTCGAGATTAAGTTTTCGAAAGATAAAATATTATCGCTCCGAAGAGCAATAAGTAGTTATGGAAGATGCAAGAATTGTAGCTGGTAGAGAGAATAGCATAATGTTGAGATAGGCAAAACAGGAGATTAGTAGTAATGCTATGATGAATCTCAGTTGCTGTTTGATATGAAGTGGCTGATGGGACAATCTGAAGCTTTTGGTGAAAGTACTTGGGCAGTTTTGATTGAATATCAAATCAGTGGTCCATGAATCAGTAGGGAGAGAATGATGAACATGAAGTAAAGGGAGAATATGAGGGTGATTATGTTTGTGCGAGCCAAGAGCTTCCCATTTTAAAGGAAGCATTTTGTGGCTTCTTTCAGAATTTCTGCAAAACTCATGGTGCTAATATTTGAGGTTCAGACCCTTTGAAGATGTTATAAAATTTTTGGGTATCTGAAAATACTATTGAGTTTTGAGAGTACATCTCATTTGATTCTGAAATTTGTCCTCATTGTGGCTTATGTGAAGTAAACATGTAAAAACAAATCTGATAAAATGTGTTTGGCACAACAAATAATAATTCTGGGGGTTATACAGATAAAACACAAATTTAATTATCGAAATTACACACAAAAACAGAAGGAAAACAGAAAAAAGATCTTCTCATCAGGGAATACTTTCAGTGATCAATGGAAAATTGGGTATTTTACAATATTCCAAGTCCCCTTGCAATTCAACTTCATCTCCATGAGTTTTCTTGCACCGATAGTACAAAACTGTATATGCCATCAACCCAAACATCTTAACTAGCCAGTGAGAATTCCATATAAGCAATCCAATTATCACTTCAACTGCTGCAAAATCTTTGAATTTCAGAAAGTTAAACCCCTGTAGCACAATAAAGGAGAGCATTGTCATCACGAGATTAACAAGAAATCCATGCATTTCCATGCCCTTAACAATCTTAGCCGCCTTCGCAGACGGATCGATTCCATAGCTTTCTTCAAGCACCGAAACCACAAGAGCTAAAGTCCACGCAACAGCCAAGTAACCATAGAAGGCTGCAGCCGAAACCGACAGCAAAATAAATAAAACTTTCAAAGCAAAAGAACTTTGAAAACTCATTATGGTAGGAAGCAGAAGAACTAATGCAAGGAACATGGAGCAGACACAAAAGACAATTACGTAAAGCGAAGTAAGAAATGGTCTTTTCCATGGACTTGCCGCGGTCGAAAACAAGTCCTTTAAGGAGAAATTTTTGCCTCTGTGTTGTTGCTGATGCTAAGATTGTGGCGATTGAGAAGAAGAAGGAGATAAAGAAGCTGATGAGAAGGAAAATGCATTCAGTGCCAACAAAGATTCTTATATCTTTATGTACTGCAACAAGAAGGTTTGCATATTCTGGGGTGTTGGAGTTTGTTGATGCTTGATTTTGACACCAACAATTCGCATGTGTAAAGTATTTAGAAGATCTTAAAAATTACACGTGAAATGATTATTAGAGTTGAATAAGGTACTGTTTTCACAATAACATACAAAGACGTAAAGATAAAGGAAACAATAAAGATTTTTATAGTGGTTCAGATGCTTAAAGCAAATCTTTCATCCACTGTTTTTTTTATATTAGTGTGTTCATGCTGCGATCTGGGGTTGCAGGTGCTTAGTGTTCTAAGGATTCTTAGAGAATGTGAAGTTAGTCTCTTTCTAGTAGTGTGTCTTTCCTATTTTCTTTGTTGAATTGAGAGTGTCTGGTCTTGATTTTGTGAGAGAGAGCTACCTATTTATACTTGTTGTGTTTACGGTAATGATTACATTATTGCAAATGGGTTGGTGTTGTGCAAATCTCTCCTATCTTCCCATTGGTTGAGAACTTAAGAAATTTCCTTAAATTAAATGAGGCTTTAGACATGTGTGCGAACCAAATTCATTTACAGACAAAACCTGAGTCAGCTGGGTTGTTGACAACTATATTTTTTCTATCTTAGGCTATATGACATACTCTGGACGGTGCAAAGCCTTCTGATTGATGCATACTGACATCAGTTTATGTCAACCTTGATTTTTAGGCATAACAGGGCTGGTGAAAAGGAGGATGCTTTGGTCAGTTATCCATTTTGAGAGCAATGGTTTCGTGGAGAAAATGTCGAACAAGAAAAGGAGAGAGTGAACAGAGAGGGTAAGTAAGGTGAAAGAGGCCATGAGCTTCCCATTTTAGTAGAAGATTTTGAGTGCTTCTCTGAGAATATCTGCAGAACCAAGAAGAAAATGTAATGCCATTTCTGAGAAATGAAATCTTCTGAAACTTTTTGCACAACAAATTAATGAACAAATTATACTGTTATGTGTTGAATGAGTCTACTCCTACACCATGTTCATGAGGAAGAAAAGTCTTGGTGAAACTGTTGTCCAAGTGATGGGGCTACCAAGACCATGTACTTGAGGAAGAAAAGTCTGGTGAAATTGTTGTCCAAGTGATGGGGCTACCAAGACCATGTACTTGAGGAAGAACAGTCTGGTGAAGCTGTTGTCCAAGGGATGGGGCTACCAAGACCATGTACTTGAGGAAGAACAGTTTGGTGAAACTGTTGTCCAAGTTATGGGGCCACTAGTGCTTGAAACTAAGCAGCATTGAAAAATCAATATCAGTTAAGTGACATAAATTAAAAGATGGATTAGAAGTCTAGGCAATTAGCGTATTGACTGGGTTGCTTTCGTTTTGTCAAAGTGTACCAGAGTAGATTAGAGCTAGACTATTAATTGCTTCTCTATGGTCAATGCACACGTTCTATATCTTGCGTTTGAGAAAATCTTGCATGCATAAGATGTATATGCATTAGTCCAATAAGGATATATGTGCAAGTAACATGAGTTGATATGCACTATCTTATTGGTTGAATGCACATTCATCCAATGTCCTACTTTTCCATCCAGAACAGGAAAAAACTAGAAAACAAGTATATGTTTATACCTAACAAACAGGGCACAAGCTGCAATCAAATTTGGTTATTAGCATATTAGACTAAAAGAATGGACTTGCAGTGAGAAACTATACTCTAAATTACACTAAGAACTTAGTTTAATTTTGTGGGTATCAATTAAAATCATATATCTTTCATGGTAAAAAAAAAAAAAAAAATGAACTATTTCAAGTAAATTTATTTCCTACAAGTAGCTAAGAGAAATACAATAAAAAATTCCCCTGATGTTTTTGAAATAACAAAAATTTCACTGCCATTATTGAACTGTTAATGAGCTGTTAAAGTTTATACTCGTATGAGTTCATAAATATTATCAAATTACCCTTATACCATTTATTTTAACACCTAAAACCTAACGACAGGAAAATCTCTGTTATTTTTAAAACTTCAAGGGGACTTTTGATTTTTTATCACACCTTAGGGAGATTAATGTTATTAACCCTAAGGAAAATTACAATTTACATAAAGAAACAATACAAGAGATGAATATGGATCCTTGTTGTGAAGCGTTATATTTCCCACTTAAGTAGAATTTTACATCATTGAGTTACAGGCTCATAGCTATTTATAGATCCCAAATTAAACATCATTTTGAGGAAAAAAAAAAAATAAAGCCACTTGCTTTTACCCTGAATTTTAAGGGTATTCTAATAGACTTCCCTTTTTTTCCATGGACTAGCTTGTGTGCACCTTAACTAATCCTCTGGCACCTTAGAACTACCGACTGGGTCAAAGCTCTAGTGGCCACCCCTATTAAGAGTCGTGGGGACTCGAATTCGGGAAACTATGTTAGATCCTCCTCTTGTTCTTTTATTATAGACCTCAAATTAAACATCATTTTGAGTNAAAAAAAAAAAAAAAAAGAACTATTTCAAGTAAATTTATAGCCTACAAGTGACTAAGAGAAATACAATAAAAATTCCCCTGATGTTTCTGAAATAACAAAAATTTCATTGCCGTTAATGAACTGTTAGTGAGCTGTTAAAAGCTCCACCCCTACTGAGGGTCGTGAAGACTCAAACTCGAGAGACTATATTAGACCCTCTTCTTGCTCTTTTACCATCAGGTGACTTGAACTTGGGAGACCATATTAAATCTTCTTTTGTTCTTTTACAATCAAACCACCCAGTGGTGGTTACAGACTTCCCATTTGTAACTTCATAACATGAGAAAATTCAAAAGGACTCATTATTAAAATACATAAATTCAGGACCAAATTCTGCAAACAAGAACTTGTCTTAATCATACTAAACTCTCATTAAGAAAAGGAACTGTTGGCACTCTACTATAGCCTGAACCCTACTACAATTCCACTCCTTCTCCATGGTTTTTCTTGCACTGGTAGTACAAAATTGTGTACGTCGTGAATAAACACCTTAACCAGGTAGATATACTTTACTAGAACAAATCCAACAAGGGCTGTCAACCGAGCCGAGCAGCTCGCAAGCTGGCTCGATTAAAACTCGTTTGAAGCTTGACTGGGCTCATTGAAATAATCGAGTCAAGTTCGATCAGTATTCGACTTGGCTCGATAGACTCGCAAGCCAAAGCTGACTCGTATAACTAGGGTGCTTTTAGATGCTTTTAGAAACTATGGGGGATTAAAACAATATTTTTCTAACTATAAACATTTATAAAACTAACAAATCAGACCCCAATATTAAAATTGGTAAAACATGATTCCTGAATCAGAAATTCAAAATTGATTTAACCCAAACACTTGACAACCCCATCGTTCTTGTAATCTCCATTTAGCTAAATTAGAAATCCCTAAATCAATCGTTGTTCTTGCCGTCAGACAACGCCGATGCCAACGCCACATGTACCTTTAATTCCATAAGCTGCAGCGGTTATTCTCGCTGTCAAACGCAACCTCTTTCTGAACTCTTTCCGTCGATCAGAGATTTCAAGGTAGTTGTTATGAATTAGTGTTTGCCTTGTGGGTTTTTGGGTGTGATAAAATCTTGGGTTATATATTCTCCTTATTATTTTGTTCAGATAACCCAACTTATGTTCAACATCTTTCCTAAATGAAGATGCATATTACTATTATCATACAACATTATCCTGATCATAAGCATTGTTTGTTTGTTTGTTTGGGTTGCCAAGAAAAGAAAAAACCATTTTGCTTAAGCTTTGATAAAGACCCATTTCAACTCAAACAGTTGGGCTGGGTAGTAGGCCTTTTGTGGGTTTGGGTAGAACCCTCTTTTGAAAACCGGTTTGCCAAGAAAGGGCGTCTAGGTCCTTTATAACCCACATGCCTATCATTTTCTCTTCCAATGTGGGATCCTAACATTCTCCCACGCTTCGAGACCCAACGTCCACGTTGACCCACTCTGAACGGCTTCACTCTAGGTGGCCTACTCTCTAAGGTTGCCCCTTCCTGGGTAGCCATTTCCTAGGTTGCCCCTTCCGAAACATCATTGGCCCACTCTGGACGACTTCACTTTGGGTAGCCTACTCTCTAAGGTTGCCCCTTCCTAGGTCATCCTTTCCAAAACATCGTTGGCCCACTCTCAGAGGTCGCCCTTTCCCAAGTAGCCCTTTCCTAGGTTGCCCCTTCCAGAACATGGGCTTGGGCAGGTTTGGCTTTGATAACATTTGATAAAGACTCATCTAACAACTCAGACAATTGGGCTGGATAGTGGACCTTTTGTGGGCTTGGGTAGAAGTCTCATTGGAAAACCGGCTTGCCAAGGAAGGGTGTCCAAGCCCTTTATAATCCACATGCCCACCTTTTTCCCTTCCAATATGGAATCCTAATAAGCTTTAAATCAAATGAAAGAAGAGGGGAGAGTTTTTGGTAGGGCCATTGATATGCTTATATTTAGTGTGAAGTAGTTCATCTATTTGTGTAGTAGCATCAGCACTTGTTTGCCCTTACTTGCAGTTTTTGCTTATATAAATTAGTGCAGGAGATGAAAAAAATTACAAGATTGTCGAGCCTAATTCGAGTTTGCCCCTACTTGTAGTTTTTGCTTATATAAATTAGTGCAGGAGATGAAAAAAAATTACAAGATTGTCAAGCCTAATTCGAGCCGGCTCGAATTCAAGCTCGTTTACCCCTAATCCCTAATCGAGTTTGAGCCGAGCTAGAAAATTTTTGGCTTGGCTGGCTCGGCTTGAACTCAAACTCGCCCTTTATGTAATCGAGCCGAGCTCGTTTAGCCAAAAACTCGGCTCAATTACAACCTATCCAACAATTATGGGAATTGCAGATAATTTTTTACTGCCCATCATCAAATTAATGTCATGAGGCACTATGAACAATATTGTAAACACAAGATTCAGAAGAAAACCATTTCCCTTAACATCTCAATAGAGTATAAGATGGTAAACAAATTGACGTTTAAGTATATAGATGATTAAACCTCGTGGAAAAGAAAAAATTCAAATTATGATGACGTGAATCTAAGCATGAAAGAAACTTCTATTAAAAATTATCAAATAAAGCACTATTGAGTTTTGACAGCACATCTTATTCGATTCTGAAATTTGCCCTCATTGTAGCTTATTGGAAGTAAACACGTAATAACAAATCTGATAGAATGTGTTTGGCACAACAAATAACAATTCTGGGGGTTATACAGATAAAAAAACATATTTAATTATCGAAATTACACACAAACAGAAGGAAAACAGAAAAAAGATCTTCTCAGCAGGGAATATTTTCAGTGATAAATTGAAAGTTGGGTATTTTACTATATTCCAAGTCCCCTTGCAATTCAACTTCCTCTCCATGAGTTTTCTTGCACTGATAGTACAAAACTGTATATGCCATCAACCCAAACATCTTAATTAGCCAGAGAGAATTCAATATAAGCAATCCAATTATCACTTCAACTGCTGCAAAATCTTTGAATTTCAGAAAGTTAAACCCCTGTAGAACAATAAAAGAGAGAATTGTCATCACAAGATTAACAAGAAATCCATGCATTTCCATGCCCTTAACAATCTTAGCCGCCTTTCCAAGCGCCTCGATTCCATAGCTTTCTTCAAGCACCGGAACAGCAAGAGCTAAAGTCCACACAACAGCCAAGTAATCATACAAAGCCTCAGCCAAAACCGATAGCAAAATAAAATAAACTTTCAAAGCAAAAGGACTTTGAAAACTCATCGTGAGAGGAAAGAGGAAGCAGAACTAATGCAAGAAAAAGTAGCCAACACCAAAGAGTGTCAGGTAAAGCAAAGTAAGAAATGGTCTTTTGAATGAACTTGCCGCGGTCGAAAACAATTCCTTTAAGGAGAAATTTTTGCCACTGTATGTTGTTGCTGATGCTAAGATTGTGGCGGATGAGAAGAGAAGGAGATGAAGGAGCTGATGACAAGGAAAATCCATTCAGTGCCAACAAGGATTCTTTTATCTTTTTGTGCTGCAACAAGAAGGTTTGCATATTTTGGGATGTTGGGGCTGGTGAAAGGACGGCTGTCGTCAGTATCCATTTTGAGAGCAATGATTTCATGGAGAAAATATTGAACAAGAAAAGGAGAGAGTGAACTGAGAGGGTGAGTAAGGTGAAAGAGGCCATGAGCTTCCCATTTTTTGTTGGAGTTGTCGACTACTTCGCATTAAAGGGTAACGGAGACGCACTCGGGTCCGCTGCCCCCGGCAGCGGGGTGCCCCGCTCCCCGGTGAGCGGGCGGGGTCCGGGGGCAGCGCCCCCGAGCCCGTAGGCGGTTTTGGGCTTTTCCATGTATAACCGCTGTAGGATTCCTTTTAAGTTATTAATTCCTTTTTGGGTTGGGCTTAGGAATAGGAATTCTTGTAAAACTAGGTTTAATCTCTTAAACCTAGTATATAAACATACTTTTCTCTTGTTATGGGTGTGAGAACAATTCATTCATTGTAACGAGAGAAGTGAGGCATATTGCAATAATATTACTCAGCTGGACGTAGCCTACATTGGGTGAACCAGGGTAATCGCGCGTATTACATTCTTTGTTTACTGTTTGTTTTGTTTAATTATTTATTTTTTTGTTCCTGTTGCTTCTCTATTTCGTTCATTTTTGTGGAAGATTTTGAGGGCTTCTCTGAGAATATCTACAAACCAAGAGAAAATGTGATGCCATTCTGAGTATTGAAATTCTTGAAACTTTTTGCACAACAAATAAGATAATTATACTGTTATGTGTGAATGAATCTCACTCCTACACTGTGTGCATGAGGAAGAAAAGTCTGGTATGTACCTGAGAAGAACAGTCTTGGTGAAATTGTTGTCCAAGTGATGGGGCTACCAACACCATGTACCTGAGGACGAAATTAAGTGACATAAATTAAAAGATGGATTGAAAGTCAAGGCAATTAGAGTATTTGACTGGGTTGCTTTGTTTTGTTAAGTATACCAGAGAAGATTAGAACTATTCTATAATTGCTTCACTATGGTCATGCACACATTTTATATCCTTGCATTTGAGAAAAAATTATGTTATTTTTGAAACTTGAAGGGGATTTTTGTTATTTTATAATATCATAGGAATTATTGTTATATACCCCTAAAGAAAAATACAATTGACATAAGAACACTACAAAGAATGAATATTGTCACATCCAGCCTAAGCCTAAGTCTATACAAGACCCAATATCTAGTTTAGGAGACTTTGACTCAAGAGCATTAAGAATATGTCAAAAAATATTTCTAGAGCTGCCAAAATGTTCCTTCACGACAGCAAAGTAGGACTAGGATTTTATTACTTAATAATTAATCCTAGACACCAATCCTAAAGGATATGTACAGATTTGGATTGTTAGATCCACTTGTAAACTCTATATAAGCTATCTAGTTTGAGGTTATTTTCATATTTCAAGTATTGTATTCAATTAAGGCAATATAAGAGAGTTTTTTGTTCTTTTATATTCTTCGTGTTTTTTATTTTTTCTTTGAGAGTTTCCGGGTTATTCAGGCTTACTTAGTGCTTAATCTCGTGTTTATCTTTGAGAGTTTGCGGGTTATTCAGACTTACTAGCGTCTGGTCCCTTGTTTGTGTACTAAATTTGCACGATTCTTAAAGGTTCATGACAATATAATTCCCAAGTTTAAAGTCAGGGATTAAAGGATCAAATCAACTAAGAAATTAAATAATTAAATTGACTGCGGAACATGGAATTACTATTAGAACAATTAAATAGACACAATTGTATTGGTTTTTTATAAATCCTTCATAATTGTATTAAATAATTGAATTCCTGTAATATATTTTAACTTTAAAATTTGATTGTAGACAATGCAATCTTGAAAATGTTGTAATGAATGCTTAAATATTATTGGTCTTCATCTCTATTCATTTTTTAATTAATCCATTGATCAAAAATTAAAGAGATTATTCAATTATTTGTATTTGAATTAATACAATATAAGATTGCAGCCCTTTCTTTTGTTAGGTATAAATTAAAGGTGTGAAATTTATTAATACCCTCCAAATAACCAAAGAAAACAATTACTTTGGGTTAAATAATGAATATAAAATTATATAATCCCCAAATAGGGAATAAAACATGGTGTTAATATTAAAGGCATGATAATAAAAAATATATTTTGTGCTCTTCATTTATTTTAATGATACAAATTGAATCTCACTTGTGTAATTTTGACCCCTTTTATTTTAATTTCTCATATTAAAAACATGTTGATCATTCATTAAAATAAATCAATGTATTTTTTTATAATAAAATCATCTATTCAATCCAATTAAATTTGTTAAAAGTATTAAACTAAGCTTGATTCTAACCCACTTAGGAAACTAAATTGGACTACAATCTGATCAAATTAAATGAGGAGTATTTTTCAAACCATACATAAACAGTAGTTCAGTAAAAAACAATTAATTTTCATCTAAAAAATATCATTTTTCCTTAATTATTTCCCATTAAATAAGTTGAATTGATTAAAAAAATAATAATATAATATTCATTATTATTATTTTTATCTTAATTCACTTATTTAGAGAGTTGTCGGGTTAATGAAGTCTGCTCAACAATACTTTCATTATATTTGCATTCTTGTATAAGCCAAAAATTGTATTAGGCCTTATCAAACTCAAACACGAAACATCTACTACGTACTCAGTGTCATGACCCAATTTGGGTTGGGCCTACTCTAAGATTTATTCCATGGGCCAGCCCATTGCACCAACCAAGCTACTCACGATTGGATCATCCAATCACTAGACCTTATCCCGAATTGGGTCTGGCCATTAGTCTATTTGGGCCCATATCGCTCCAAAGAACCCAAAGTTCTATTCATATCCTAATTCATCTACTTCATATTTCATCTACTTTCTATTTGTCGAAGATTCTGAATCTTTTAGAATGATGACTTTTACTTCTATAAAGCAAGTAATCAGGGCTTTTTGATATAAAGTCTATTACTATCGATTAATTTTTGATATAGGAATAGGAAATCGATGAATTATAAGGTTGAATTTTGATTTTTGATTATATACTTACTTGTTGTTTTAATTAATGACCTTTCTGACATGTCCAAGATATATTTTAAATCAGTAATACTATTAGTCCCAAATGATATCCCAAAATTTTCATTCCCAAATGACGTGTTATGTCATGTGACCCCTTTCAATATGAGTCTCCATATAAGGGGATCTAGATCAACTTGCAGATAAATTAGGGGTATACATGGAATTTGACCCCTTTCAATAAATTTTCATGCCTTCTAAAGTTAAGAACTCTAATACTCTATCCCACACTTTTTTTTTTTTTAAATATTGACTTTGAATTATAGATTTTTTTAAAGGCCATTTCATAAGATTTAATTTGTTATGAATTATAAGATATTTGAGAAAACCAATTGATATATTTCATTAACAATTTCTTGCATTATATTATTGGAGTAAGATTATGTTTTTAATAATACTATGACTAATCACAATTTTTGTATCATAATTTCTTAATATTATTGTTCATCCTCATCCGAATCACCCCCATATTATCTGTCAAAATTTCCCTAATTTATAAGTATTATTTTAATTTGTGATATAAAATAGGATCAAGGTAAATTTAATTAAAGGCGTGATATTTCATTAATACCCTCAAATTATTTATATTAACAAAAGCAAAGAAAGTTTGAAAAAAATTATAAAATTGGAAAATTTATTGTATTTTTTCCTAATCATATAATTAAGGTGTAATATTTTTGGTATTTTAAAATTATAATATCCAAATAGCTATAAATTTTTAACATGAATGTTAAAATCAACATATATTTTGTGTGCCCAATTTTAATCATAATATAACCCTCCTATAATAACAATCTCATTCATCAAATACAAATTTCATTCAATCCTTCAATCTTTTAACTTATAAAATGTTATGTTGTTGCTCTTCATTAAGATTTTATTAACATTATGTTTCTTTCTTAATAGAATTATATTTAGATTCGAATATTTTGTTGATGCGTGATTTTGAATCAACCAAACGCACATGCGAAATGCTAAGCTGGCCCAAGACACACTGGATGAACAGGTAAGAGTAAACCAATGGAGAATAGCGTTAAAGTTGGTTTGATGCTAAGGAAGTAAATCCTACTCCACTTGATTTTGTATTAATGATATGGTCAGGTCTCGTTCAGCGGACTGACTTACAAATGATTTTACAAGAGGAGATACTATCTTTTCTTTAGAGAGATTAGCTAATCCCTTAAATGAGAGAGGAGCTCTCAATTTATAGTAGAATGAATTAGTTTTATCATACTAATCTGCGAGTTGGTGGGATTATCCGTGCAATCCTTCTTTATGTCCTATTGCCCACCTTCTAGAGCGATTTACACGATTTGGTGCAGTGATTAGACACGTGGAATCACTCTACTCCTGCTGTTCTGACGTGCACCACTGTCCTGATAGGAGCATTCCGCCCCTGTCATTGTGTGACGTGCTGCCTCTGACATGCTGGCGGTCATACCTAAGCTCTACTTTTTATGCTGACTGGTCTCGCGTCAGCTCTACTTTTTCAGATATAACATATTTGAACTTCAACATTAAAATATTGGAAGAAACCATCTCCGACATATGATTCACAGGTTCATGGGGCATCTTGGATAAAATTTGGGTCTGGATTTGGTGGCCAAAACCTGAACCAAACCTACCCATGCACACCTCTACTTTAAC